AATAGAATAGAATAGAATAGAATAGAATAGAATAGAATAGAATAGAAGGTAGGAGGGGAAGTGCCTTCTGGGAAGCAATTAAAATGAAGTCATCAGATTTGGCCGGGTTATGAGAGATTAATAAAATCTGAAATATTTATTTTGCTTCATTTACATGAAAATTCACTAGTCATTAGTTACTACCAACACGGACAAAAAGAGCATCTATAAAAGTACAGGGGCAATGTCAAAAGCTGAAATGGGCACCCTAGCACAGGGGATTTTTTTATTTTGCTTTTAACTTGGAAAAGATGATTTTGTAAAAAATGACTTTATATTCTTAGAACATCAAAATAACCTCTGACAATATTCAAGATAATTAGCACTAACAGGGGAATAGGTGCACTGAGCTCTCTACCTGCACCAGCAGACTACTGCAATAAGCCAAGGGAAAAGAAAATAGAAAGTCGAATAAGATGCCAAAGTCACAGGATGGAAAAAATATAAGATGACACGCAATGAACAGTGAAAACTCAACCCCCTACCCCAAACCCCAAGCATATTTAGGAAATATGCATCAGGAAGTGAACAAGTATAATGATTAAACCTTAGTAGAATTATACTAACTACTTTAAACTGTGGTCTACTTGTACTGACTTTTCAAAGGTGGGTGGGTCGTAGAGGCTGTAATGGTAACACTGACATGCCCACAGGAGCCTTGTAAGGTTCCAAAGGACTGGATCACCATAACCAAACAGCTACCCTGGATCACCATAACCAAACAGCTACCCCCACATTCCTTCTACCCTACATAAGCACTCCTGCCCCCCACCCTCCATCTCAACCACCCTCCGTAATGCCTTGTTCGACTGTTTTTCTCAGTGATCAAAAAAAGTTAATGTGACTTGGCCAACAATGTCAGAAATCAAGATGGAGACAAATATCAAATGTCACTAGCCAAAGCGAGTACCAATTCTTGGGCTTTAAAGTCTACCCAAAGTCCTACTGGCTCAGAATGAAAATGATGCAAGTGAGCAGAAGTTTGTCAGGCCTGGTCCAGACCACACTGGACTGGTCACTGACTAAGAGTAGGAGTTATAAGCCGATCCCAAGACACACCAGCAGAAATAAAAAACTGCAAGTCCTTGGGGATCAGTGACTATACACAACCAGCGTGTTTTGCTTATGGTCCTACAATGTAAAGGGGTCATTTCTGGGGGTTCCCAAATGACTTTGTTCAAGAGAGGTCACATCACAGCTAGAAACGGAACCTCAAGTGAAGGATGACAGTCTCTTCAAGTGGTGCAGCAAAGATCAGACCCCACCTTCCACAATTTGTCCTCCAATTAGAAAAAGTTCATCTCCCAGTAATGAACCTTAGTTTTCCTGGCTTCTAAGTTGTGTATTTTGTCAGATAAATAAAAATCTAGGAATATGGCCATTTATGGTTCTTTCTTGTAACCTTCCGAACCCAAAATGCTGAATCCAAATAAAAATCAAGGTTGGAGATGACCCACTTGTTTCACCCTGGGCTAGGGGAAAAAGGTTGTGGAAGGAAGAAAAGCCTTTTGGCAAACTGGAATCATCCCTGCCAAAGCAGCAATTTTACCTCTCACAGTGAATGCCTACAAAGTAAGAAATTTTCTTAATGGTGTGAGAGTTAACAATACTGTCATCTGATTGTGTCAGATAGATTCAAGATGCACAGAAACAGCAACTGCAAACAGTATCTTAGCAATTTTAAGTCCAAGTGCTTCCTATTAGAAAATGGAGATACAGGTTATCTCACAGCTCAGTGATGCTGGTTGCTTTTAGAGCTCCAAAGGATTCATCCCTCTGTGGCTCCAGAAAGAAAATTCCAAGCCATGTAAATTTACTACTATCCCTTCCTTTGCTGGACGTAGAAGTCCTACCTTCAAGATGTTGTGAAAGGTTGGGCAGGTCCAAGAGAAGAAGGGGTACCACATTAGGGGAGCTGATTCCAAAGAGGAGGTTTTTGTATACTTTGTTTCTACTTCTGTCTGGTTCAAAGTACACTCTTGTCATCTTTCTTTGGTTTATGTAAGAAGTATCTGGGCAGGGGTCAAGGCATTCCAGGGCTCCCTCCCCATGAAAATCATGGCTTCTCTTAATCTGGGACAGACTAGAACTAAATAGTCTGACGCTGTTTTCAATTTCCTATGATCTGGTCAGTGTTAAGTGGGCAGTAAGCAAATAGCCTTCTGGTTGTCTGGGCAAAAATCACCAAGGACCTGCTGTGGGTTAAGGTGCATGGGGTTTTTCAAAAAGAACCCTGCTAGAAGATTAGTCAGTTGTATTTCTGTAGAAATGGTACTTCTTGGGCAAGAATATCACAAAGCCCAAAAGGAGGTATGTGAGGCTGGAAGCCTCAATTCCTGAATGAAGACATAATGCTAATTTATTGCAAGCCATGTTTCCCTCCCTCATACTTAGGCTGTCCAAGGAGGGAAACTGGAAATGCAAGGTTGTCTCAAGATTATCTCCAGCAAGGAGGAATAGCCTCTTTATCCTGGGCAGATCCTGGTCACACAGGAGGCTGAGAATCTTTTAATAGAATTCTTCTCAAGGCCCAGGCCAGAGTCCTCTAAAGTCTTCCTTGCAAAGCAAATGAAAAGATCCAGTAGTCAGAATGTCAATGAACAAATGAAACAATCTAGGCGTGTAAAATCAAATAGTTTCCTCACACTTCCCTACCCTATCTTTCCAAAGCTAGTCCTCTCTCCTTCAGGGATTCATGTCAATCAATTCTAGCCTGAAACCAATTTGACCCTGGAGTTCCAGAAGAGATTTCCTCCAAATTGGCTGAAAGCCCTTTCAAATGGTAGTCACCTCCCATCCCCCCTTTTCTCTCCAAACTTTCATAAGGAAATGCCCAACTCTTCCCAATCCCATTCCAACCTCCTGTTTTCACCATATGGGATGTGAGGGCTCTGTTCAAGATAAAGCTTGTAACAACCCAAGAGTTTGTTGTTCTGAACAGGCAATTTCTGGAAAGTACTTTTTGTCTGATTTAGAGAAGCCCATCCAACTTCTCATAATTGTGATGGGCTGTGACTTAGTAAGAATTTCAGATTTAAAGTGTGGTCTTTTGAAACCTTCCACTCCATAGCAGTGGAAGCATTTCTGGGAAATTGAGTAAATCCTCTGGGACATCACCGTGTATGTATGTGTATATATATACACACATATATACACACATACACACACATATATATAAAATATGTATAGATAAATAGATCTGTCTCTTTATATAAAGGGTATGTGTATGCATATACACACATTCATATATACACCCACCCACACATTCACACACACACGCACACGCGTGCGCGTACACACACACACACACACACACACACACACAGTCTTTTGAGTCCCTTTCGTACTCAAGTTCATTACACTGATTCCCACCCTTTCATGGTGTGGGCAGTAGGGAGTGAATGAACTGTGCCACATCTTCTATGTTACAAACAATGCACTGGTTGAGAGGCAGGAAAAATCTGCCCAGTACTTTTCTGATTCACTTGAATCCTCCAGTACAAAGGCCATTGATAATTTTTTTGAAGTGTATAAAAAAAAATAATACTACCTTACTTTTCTGAAGACATCTACCTATCTGATTGTCAGGCCAAAGCTAGAGGTGGTGGTACAAAATCGAGGGGTAGGTAAGTTGGAAGAAGGAGTGAAGAAGAGGTGGATACCACTTCATAGAAAAAAAAAAACAAAAACAACAAAACCTCAGGAAGCCAAAGCTGTTGCCACAACCTCATAGGTTTGCCATATAAGTCTGTGATAATGAGTATCATTATAAATACTCAGAAAAACCAAAGCTGGAACTCTTCTATAGGACCTTATGTGATGACACCCAATTTCTGACAGCTACTGCCTTACTAGGCTCCCAGAGGAGATAAATAAACTATTGGTGCTATGTATTCAATTTGAGACTAGGAGCTAGTCTTACTGCCATTCATCTTTGACCAGAACTTCTCCAGAAACAGCCACTGAATCTGGAGTCCCAGAAAAAGGCAGGGAAGGGGAAAAGATGGACAAAATAGGACATCCCACCACAATCCTGGAGAAATCTAGGGTAAGCATTTATATCCTCCTCTAGCTTGGGCCTAAAATCAGAAAAGTAAAAGTTTTTCCCTCTTCCTGGTTTGGTGAAGCCATCTTCAGCTTGTCAATCCTCTTTCCGTTGTGCCACAGTTTCTAGCTTTTGCTCTTGTAAGTGGTTCTTCTCCCTATTCTTCATAGGGAAGTAGCGGTTACCATTATTATACTCGTTGCTGTCTCTGGATAAGGCACATTGTGATGGAGTTGGAAGACGATAATCACTCTTCTCTTCCTTGATCAATGCGCCACTGTTTCCATTTACCTGGGAGCGAGATCGACCTTGATGAAGCTCCAGGGATTTAGAAAGTCCATCTGAAGAGCCCTGTTAAAAACAGAGATACTCAGTGGAAATGGGAATCCAGACTGGCTGACCCTTCCTAAGCATATTCATAAGCTAGCCTGAGAAAGCGGCTTCAGTTCTTCGAAAACACCAGAAGACCTCAAGCTGGTTGCTAACTAGTACATTCTTTTTTTTTTTTTTTTGAGATGGAGTCTCGCTCTGTCGCCCAGGCTGGGGTGCAGTCTGCAATCTCAGCTCACTGTAACCTGCCTCCAAGGTTCAAGCAATCCTCCCACCTCAGCCTCCTGAGAGTAGCTGGGTTTACAGGCGCCCACCACCACGCCTGGCTAACTTCTGTATTTTTAGTAGAGACGGGGTTTCATCATGTTGGCCAGGCTGGTGTCGAACTCCTGGCCTCAACTGATCTGCCTACCTCAGCCTCCCAAAGTGCTGGGATTACAGGTGTGAGTCACTGCGCCCTGCCGGATACCTAGTACATTCTGGTATTATCTTGAGAAGTTAGGGTGAAAACATATAAACCCAACTGAAATCCAATGGCAATGACAACACAATAATGACACAGCTACTTTTTCTTTTTTTTATACAGGGTCTTGCTCTGTCACCCAAGTTGGAGTGCAGTGCTGCAATCCTGGCTTACTGCAGCCACGATCTCCTGGGCTCAAGCCATCTTCCCACCCCAGCTCCCCCAAGTAGCTGGGACTACATGCATGCACCACCACATCCAGCTGATTTTTGTATTTTTTGTAGAGACAGGGTTTCACCATGTTGGCCACACTGGGCTTGAACTCCTGAGCTCAGGTCATCTGCCTGCCTCAGCCTCCCAATGTGCTGGGATTACAGGTGTGAGCCACTGCGCCTGGCTGACGCTGCTACTATTTACAAAGCTTAACAATATGTTTTTCTAATACTATGGGGATCCTAAATGGTAGATATGATCATGCCCCATTTGCTGATGAGGAAGGTGAGGCTCAGAAAGATTAAAGCAACTTGCTTAAGGAGACACAGATACAAAGTCGTGGGGCCAGGATTCTACTCCTCTAAAGTCTATTCTCTTAACACTGCCTAATGCTGACAACTGGACAGGCAAATGAAAGAAAAGGAAACAAACACAGAAGATCTACGTGCAATATTCCACAGAATCTTTCTTTTCTTTTTGAGACAGAGTTTTGCTCTTGTTGCCCAGGCTGGAGTGTAGTGGCACGATCTCAGCTCACCCCAACCTCTGCCTCCCGAGTTCAAGCAATTCTCCTGCCTCAGCCTCCCAAGTAGCTGGGATTACAGGCATGTGCCACCATGCCTGGCTAATTTTATTTTTTAGTAGAAACGGGATTTCTCCATGTTGGTCAGGCTGGTCTCGAACTCCTGACCTCAGGTGATCTGCGCAACTCAGCCTCTCAAAGTGCTGGGATTATAGGCGTGAGCCACAGAATCTTTCATAACTAAAAACAATCACCTGGTTTTTGTAAATCCCAGGAACATGATAGCTATTGCTAATGATATGAACTACATTACCTTGTAGTGCAGTGCTGGCTCTTAATGAATGGTGCTAGGAATAATAACAGCTTCTAAGTGGTTGGACATGCCACATACTCTGTTGTTCCTTTTACAGATAAGAAAACTGAAGCTCCTAGGAGGCCAAGGCGGGCAGATTGTTTGAACTCAGGAGTTTGAGACCAGAACCCCATGTCTACAAAAATTACAAAAATTGGCTGGGCATGGTGGCATGCACCTGTGGTCCAAGCTACCCAGGAGGTTGAGGTGGGAGGATCGCTTGAGCTTGGGAGGTCCAGGCTGCAGTGAGTCATGATTGCACCACTGCATTCCAGCCTGGGCAACAGAGTGAGATCCTATCTTTAAAAAAAAAAAAAAAGAAAAGAAAAGAAAAAGAAAACATGAACAGTCTCAAAAAAGTACAAAGACTTTACTTTTAGTCCTCATATAACAACTCTGCAACATAGATACCAATTTCTCCAATTTTATAGATGAGAAAACTAGGGCAGAGAGGCTAAGTAACTTGCCCAAGGTCACAGAACTAGTAAGTAGCAGAACCAGATTCAAAGCTAGATCATTTGGTTCCAAAGTCTGTACAATACGGGGCTTACTGTGAAGTATTGTCCAACAACCTGGAAATAACATGAAACTAGTAACAGCCATACAAATGGATGGAATTAGCCACCTGAAGGAGTCAACAAACAAATCAAAACATTACAAGGAAGTCATTTAAGAATTTAAGAACAGGCAGCCAGGCGCTGTGGCTCAGGCCTGTAATCCCAGAATTTTGGGAGGTTGAGGCGGGTGGATCACAAGGTCAGGGGTTGAAGACCAGCCTGATCAACATGGTGAAACCCCGTCTCTACTAAAAATACAAAAAAAAGTAGCCGGACGTGGTAGCGGGCACCTGTAATCCCAGCTACTCAGGAGGCTGAGGCAGGAGAATTGCTTGAACCCAGGAGGCGGAGGTTGGGGTGAGCCGAGATCGTGCCACTGCACTCCAGCATGGCGACAGAACGAGACTCTGTCTCAAAAAAAAAAAAAAAAAAAATTTTAAGAACAGGCCTGGCTGGGTGCGGTGTCTCACACCTGTAATCCCTGCACTTTGGAAGGCCGAGGCGGGCAGATCATGAGGCCAGGAGTTCGAGACCAGCCTGGCCAACATGGTGAAACCCTGTCTCTATTAAAAATACAAAAATTAGCCGGGTGTGGTGGTGGGCACCTGTAATCCCAGCTACTTGGGAGGCTGAAGCAGGAGAATCGCTTGAATCTGGGAGGCAGAGGTTGCAGTGAGCCAAGATCGTGCCACTGCACTGCAGCCTGGGCAGTTTGGGAGGCCAAGGCAGGCAGATCAACTGAGGTCCGGAGTTCAAGACCAGCCAGGTCAATATGGTGAAACTGTGTCACTCCTAAAAATATAAAACTTTGCTGGGTGTGGTGGTGCATTCCTGTAATCCCAGCTACTTGGAAGGCTGAGGCAGGACAATTGCTTGAACCCAGGAGGCGGAGGTTGCAGTGAGCTGACATCGTGCCACTGCACTCCAGCCTGGGTGATGGAGCAAGACTGTTTTTAAAAAAGTAAAATTAGGCCGGGTGCGGTGGCTCATGCCTGTAATCCCAACACTTTGGGAGGACAAGGCAGACGGATCACGAGGTCAGGAGATCGAGACCATCCTGGCGAACACGGTGAAACCCCGTCTCTACTAAAAATACAAAAAAATTAGCCGGGCGTGGTGGCGGGCACCTGTAGTCCCAGCTTCTAGGGAGGCTGAGGCAGGAGAATGGTGTGAACCCGGGAGGTAGCGGAGCTTGCAGTGAGTGGAGATCGCGCCACTGCACTCCAGCCTGGGCGACAGAGCGAGACTCTGTCTCAAAAAATAAATAAAATAAATAAAATTACAAAAAAAAAAAAAGAATTTAAGAACATATAAAACTCTTGTGGCCTAGGAATAATCTCAGGAAGACAGGATTACAGTGTAACCAGATTTAATAAGCTGGAACATTTTATTAATTATCTCATACTCTTCTTTTTCTGTCCCGATTGAAACAGAAAAAGAAGAGTCAAAAAGGAAGTCAGCAGCAGCTCTGTCCAGAGAAGATGGCTTGCTATAAACCAAGCTGAAATGAGGATTTCCTTGGCTAGGTGACCTCTAGAGCAGATAACAGTGTCCGCAGCCATCTTAGCTAAGAGAAACTTAAGATCACCTACCATCCCTTGTTTTCTCTCACTTGCCTCAAATGTAAAATAGAATAAGAGTATCTACTTTGTAGGTTCCTGTAAGGATTCAATGAGACACTACATATAAAGTACTTAGAACATGTGTGTTTGGCACAGTGTAAGAATTCAATAAATGCTCACTAAGGCTGGGCACAGTGGCTCATCCCTGTAATCCCAGAACTTTGGGAGGCCGAGGCAGGCGGATCACCTGAGCTCAGGAGTTCGAGACCAGTCTGGCCAACATGGCGAAACCTTGTCTCTACAAAAAATATAAAAATTAGCTGGGCATGGTGGCATGCACCTGTAGTCCCAGCTACTCAGAAGGCTGAGGTAGGAGGATCACTTGAGCCCAGGGGTTTGAGGCTGCAGTAAACTATGATTGCAACACTGCACTCCAGCCTGCGTGACTCATTAAAAAAAAAAGCTAGCTAATATCATTGTTCTGATTCCATGCCCCCAAGCAAACTTCTGATACCATGGCCTCTCTTGTAGCTTGCCCTTAGATAAAGAAAGCTCTAGCAGTAATGGTTAAAGGCCTGTACGCTAGAGTCAGCCACACCTGAGTCTGATGCTTGTCTCTAACAAGTAGAGTTGTTATGCTATATTGGAATTAGCATAGCATAGGGCTTTGGAATCAGTTAGCTCAGGCTGTAATGTCAATTCTGACACTGACTTGATAGATAATTTGGGGCAAGATACTTCATTCTTCTGAGTCTCAATTTCCTCCTGTTTAAAATGGGGAACAGGCCAGGTGCGGTGGCTCATTCCTATAATCCCAGCACTTTGGGAGGCCCAGCTTGAGGCCAAGAGTTTGATACCAGCCTGGGCAACATGGCAAAACCCCATCTCTACAAAAAATATTTAAAAATTAGCTGAGTGTGGTGGCTCACCCCTGTAGTCCCAGCTACTCAGGAGGCTGAGGTGGGAAGTTTGCTTGAGCCTGGGAGGTTGAGGCTGCAGTGCACTGCACTTTAGCTTGGGTGACAGAGTGAGACCCTGTCTCAAAAAATAATAATAAAATGGAGAATAATAAATACTTCACAGGGTATTTATGTGGTTTCAATGAGCTCACGTGTTTGTAAGAGTGATTAGAAGAGTAAATGTGTGATACATTGTGATAACTATTTCTTATCGTAAATCAGTTCTTTATCTCTCACCCCTTCTTCCCCCACCCCTTAGCCATATTCACACAGCTATTTCTATGATCTTGGTTAGTGTGAGTCAACCACTAAGAGATAGATCTACTCTTATTATACCAAAAGTATCAGGCTTTTCAGACTGTATGCCTGATGACCAGACCCTGAATCCCGGTGAATTCACCAAGGCTATGCTGTCTTACGAGAGAGCCTATCTGGTGATTAGCTTTCCTTCTAGGTGCATCCTTTTTACCTTACTGAGCAGCTTCAAGGAAAAGGTGAGAAGCTTTACCAAAGTCACTGTTCTCTAGCTTTGGAGTGCATTATGAAATGCTTTGCATGGGAGACTTACTATCTAGTTCCACTTTTGGCTAAAAGTAACATTAAAGCAAATTTATCTTCTTTGAGGAAACATTAGATGATGGGGATTAACATGGATGCAGTGAGGGCTGGCTGTATACAGAATAGATTTAGGATTGAGAACTGATGAAAAAATTGCCCAGGATTAAAGACTACATGTAGAATGTCTAGAGGAGGCTTGGTAGAAAGTAGGTACTCAAGAAATGGTAGCTGCTATACTATAAGAAGCCCAGCAGCTTGAGTCTACTACAGTATTTTGGATCACTATAAGAATAAGTCCTTCTAGTTTGTATTTGGGTGGGGTGGGGCATAACTAATAAGGACCAGTGGGAACTGTGATATAATTCAAGGCATGGATTAGAAGAAGGCCGGGCGCAGTGGCTCACACCTATAATCCCAGCACCTTAAGAGGCTGGAGGATCACTTGAGCCCAGGACTTTGAGACCAGCCTGGGGCAACAAAGTAAGACTGTCTCTACAAAAAAAATAGAAAAACTTTGGGGGGCCAAGGCGGGCGGATCACGAGGTCAGGAGATCGAGACCATCCTGGCTAACACAGTGAAACCCTATCTCTACTAAAAATACAAAAAATTAGCCGGGTGTGGTGGCAGGCGCCTGTAGTCCCAGCTACTTGGGAGGCTGAGGCAGGAGAATGGTGTGAACCCGGGAGGTGGAGCTTGCAGTGAGGTGAGATCTTGCCACTGCACTCCAGCCTGGGTGGCAGAGCGAGACTCCTGTCTCAAAAAAAAAAAGAAAAACTTAGCAGGGTGTGGTGGCGCACACCTGTAGTCCCAGCTACTTAAGAGACGGAGCTGCGAGGATTGCATGAGGCAAGGAGGTAGAGGCTGCAGTGAGCTAGTGAGCTGTGATTGTGCCATTGCACTCCAGCCTGCCTGAGTGACAGAGTGAGACCCTGTCGAGAGAGAGAGAGAGAGAGAGAGAGAGAGAGAGAGAGAGAGAAGACAGAAAGTTCAAGACATTTCTGAGTCATTGAGAATAAGCAGGCCGGGTGCGGTGGCTCACGCCTGTAATCCCAGCACTTTGGGAGGCAGAGGTGAGTGGATCGCCTGAGGTTGGGAGTTCGAGACCAGCCTGACTAACATGGAGAAACCCCATCTCTACTAACAATACAAAATTAGCCAGGTGTGGTGGCGCATGCCTATAATCCCAGCTACTCGGGAGGCTGAGGCAGGAGAATCGCTTGAACCTGGGAGGCGGATGTTGTGGTGAGCCGAGATCGTGCCATTGCACTCCAGCCTGGGCAACAGGAGCTAAACTCCGTCTCCAAAAAAAAAAAAAAATAAGCAGAATGGTAATGCTCCTGCCACATATATTCAGCAAAGGTAAAAAAGTCCAATTTTTTAAAGTCCACCATATCTGGTGGCCCCTCAGAAGCTCAGGCAGGCTATAGGCAGTCTCACTGTTAGCATCACTCTGGCCCCTTTCTGGCTGCATGTTGCTCATAGTATGCTAGGAGGTCTTTAGGACACAGTACCTGGTTTCTATCTTGTGGCCTCACTCAGAAAAGGGTAAGACTCTGCAGCCCTGTAGGAACAGCCTGGGGCAGGCTAACCCTCACTATACCATTAGAATGAAATCAAATGCCTGAAGGAGTTGAGAAGCTCCCCTAAGCAGCTCAGGTTTCCATGCCTGATGTGATCTCTTGTAGTTTAGCTGAAAAGGCAAAAGGCATCAAACAGAAGCTAAATATCTCAAAAAACATACTTACTTGCTTATTTCCTTTTTTGTGTCCCTTGGATCCTCTACCAGTCTGTTCTTTTCCATGCCTTTAGCAAGTGAGAGAAAAAGTGATCATGAGAAACATAAAGCCCACACACCCCTTTTCACTTGGTTAACTATTTGTCTCCTCTTGGAAGTCTGACCCCTCTTAAAGTCAGATGCCCCTTCTCAGTGTTACTACTGAACATCTATCTCGGTCATTGCTATATTCTACTGAACTGAATTGTTCTGTATCCCATATCCTCCTCTAGGGCAAAAAACTCTTTCATCAAGGCAGAGCCATTTATTATATATTTGCTGAGGTAAACTGAAGACTGATTTTAAAAAAATGGAAAGTTGGGCCAGGTGCGGTGGCTCACACCTGTAATCCCAGCACTTTGGGAGGCCGAGGTGGGTGGATCACCTGAGGTCAGGAGTTTGAGACCAGCCTGACCAACACGGTGAAACCCCATCTCTATTAAAAATACAAAAATTAGCCTGGCGTGGTGGTGGGCGCCTGTAATTCCAGCTACTTGGGAGACTGACGCAGGAGAATCACTTGAACCAGGGAGGTGGAGGTTGCAGGAAGCTGAGATCATGCCACTGCACTCCAGCCTGGGCAACAAAGTGAGACTCCATCTCAAAAAGAGAAAGAGAAAAAGAAAAAAAAAAAGTAAAGTTAGTTAGTACTTCTTGCTTTAATAGAAAGATTTAATACCTAGGCATTTTCCCAAGGATACCTAGGCATTTTCCCAAGGGGACTAGCTCATACCAACCTATTTGGATACATACCCCTTTCCTGGCCCACCGACAGAAACCACTTGCATGCCGAAGGATCCTCGGCCCCTGGAGGATCTGCTGCCAGCCCACTGGCCCACAACCATTCCAGCAATCTCCAGTTTTCCTCCTTGGGGTGGGATTGGATGAAGACCTGGCAAGACAGAAAGAATGGTGGTAATGGGGCAGGTGTGGTGGCTCACACCTGTAATCCCAAAACTTTGGGAGGCCGAGTCGGGTGGATCACTTGAAGTCAGGAGTGGAGTTCCAGAGCCAGCCTAGCCAACATGGTGAAACCCTGTCTCTACTAAAAATACAAACAATTAGCCAGGCACCGTGGTGCGTGCCTGCAATCTCAGCCACTGGGGAGGCAGAGGCACAAGAATCACTTGAACCCAGGAGGTGGAGGTTGCAGTGAGCTGAGACTGTGCCACTGCACTCCAGCCTGGGCGAAAGAGTGAGATTCTGTCTCCAAAAAAAAAAAAAAAAAAAAGAAGAAAAAAGTATTATAAGTACGAGGCAGGATAAGAGGTGGACAAAAGATCCTACAACCCACCACCTACTCTTCTTATTTCCATTTCTCTCTGATAAAAAGACTCTGTGGCAGGGCATGGTGGCTCATGCCTGTAATGCCAGGAGTTTGAGACCAGCCTGGCCAACATGGGGAAACCTTGTTTCTACTAAAAATACAAAAATAAGCCGGGTGTGGTAGCCTGTGCCTGTAATCCCAGCTACTCAGGAAGCTGAGGCAGGAGAATCGCTTGAACTTGGGAGGTGAAGGTTGCAGTGAGCCAAGTTCACGCCACTGCACTCCAACCTGGGCGATGGAGCAAGACTCTGTCTCAAAAAAAAAAAAAAAAAAAAAAAATAGAAACTCTGTGATAACAGAAGGTGTCATGATGGAAGCACATTCAGTGAGGAGGGCCGAAGATCTGTACACATCTACTTTAGCAAGTATGGTACAGGTGATTCATTTTTTAATCACAGAGCCTAGCATATAGTAGGCATTCAGTATTTGTTGAGAGAATGAATGTCTTAACATCTAGTTATTAGAAAATTACAAACCTGGCCGGGCGCGGTGGCTCAAGTCTGTAATCCCAGCACTTTGGGAGGCCGAGATGGGCGGATCACGAGGTCAGGAGATGGAGACCATCCTGGCTAACACAATGAAACCCCGTCTCTACTAAAAAATACAAAAACCTAGCCGGGCGAGGTGGCGGGCGCCTGTAGTCCCAGCTACTCGGGAGGCTGAGGCAGGAGAATGGCGTAAACCCGGGAGGTGGAGCTTGCAGTGAGCCGAGATGGTGCCACTGCACTCCAGCCTGGGTGACAGAGCGAGACCCCGTCTCAAAAAAAAAAAAATCAAAAGAAAATTACAAACCTAAATAAACTACCTTTTTTTGGTTTTGTTTTTTGAGACACAGTCTCACTGTGACACCCAGGCTGGAGCGCAATGGTGCGATCTTGGCTAACTGCAACCTCTACTTCCCGGGTTCAAGTGATTCTCCTGCCTCAGCCTCCTGAGTAGCTGGGACTACAGGCGCATGCCACCAGGCCCAGCTAATGTTTGTATTTTTAATAGAGACAGGGGTTCACCATATTGGCCAGGCTGGTGTCGAACTCCTGACCTCAAGTGATCCACCCGCCTCGGGCTCTCAAAGTGCTGGGATTACAGACTTGAGCCACAGTGCCCAGTCCTAAACTACTTTTGATACAAATATACATCATTACAGATCGTAGGATTAGCCAAATAACCAAACTAAACTGAAAATAATGAAACTAAACTAACAGTAATTTATACTCAAAAAGCAAGAATAGGCTGGGCATGGTGGCTCATGCCTGTAATCCCAGCACTTCTGGAGGCCAAGGTGGGTGAATCATTTGAGGTCAGGAGTTCAAGACCAGCCTGACCAACATGGTGAAATCCTGTCCCTACCAAAAATACAAAAAAATTAGCCAGGCGTGGTGGCACATGCCTGTAGTCCCAGCTACTCTGGGGGCCGAGTCAGGAGAATTGATTAAACCTGGGAGGTGGAGGTTGCAGTGAGCGGAGATGGCGCCACTGCATTCCAGCCTGGGTGACAGAGCGAAACTCCATCTCAAAAGAAAAAAAAAAAAAAAACAAAAAACCAAGAACAGCAACAATTGAAAATCAGAACTAAGTCACAAGCACAGTGAGTTTTATAATTTAGCACAAAAATAAGCCTTTACAGAATATGGAGTTCTACTAAGCCTTTAATTTTAGTTTATGACAAGAAACCAAATGAACCCTTAACTCATTTAGCAGGTTGTTAGTAAAGAGTACTTCATTTAGGACAGGCATGGTGGCTCACACCTGTAATCCCAGCACTTTGGGAAGCTGAGGCAGGCAGGATCGCTTGAGCCCAGTTCAAGACCAGCCAGGGCAACACAGTGAGACCCCATCTCCACACACACACAAAAATATTAGCCAGGCATGTTGGTGCGTGTTTGTAGTTCCAGCTATTCACGGGGCTGAGGTGAGCAAATCACTTGAGCCCAGGAAGTCGAGGCTGCAGTAAGCCGTGATTGCACCACTGCACTCCAGCCTGGGCAACAAAGTGAGAACCTGTATCCACAAAAAAAAAAAAAAAAGAGTCCTTCATTTATACAAAACTTTATAAAATTTGAGAGTCCAAGGAACTAGAGTGCTAGTTACCTTTTTGTTTGTTTGAGACAGAGCCTCGCCATGTCTCCTAGGCTGGAGTGCAGTGGTGCGATCTTGGCTCACTGCAGTCTCTGCCTCCCGGGTTCAAGCGATTATTGTGTCTCAGTCTCCCGAGTAGCTGGGATTACAGACAGGTGCCAGCCACCATGCCCGGCTAATTTTTATATTTCTTTGTAGAGACAGGGTTTCACCACGTTGGCCAGGCCTGTCTGCAAGTCCTGATCTCAAGTGATCTGCCCACCTTGGCCTCCCAATGTGCTGGAATTACAGGCATGAGCCACTGCTCCCTGCCTAAAGTGCTAGTTACTTTTTTTTTTTTGAGACGGAGTCTCGCTTTGTCGCCCAGGCTGGAGTGCAGTGGCGCCATCTCGGCTCACTGCAAGCTCCACCTCCCGGGTTCATGCCATTCTCCTGCCTCAGCCTCCGAGTAGCTGGGACTACAGGCGCACACCACCACGCCTGGCTAATTTTTTTTTGTATTTTTAGTAGAGACGGGGTTTCACCGTATTAGCCAGGATGGTCTCTATCTTCTGACCTCGTGATCCGCCCGCCTCCGCCTCCCAAAGTGCTGGGATTACAGGCGTGAGCCACCGCGCCCGGCAGAGTGCTAGTTTCTTTTAAGAGGAACAAGAAAGACTTGCATTTGAGGATCCTACTGTGGGCTTTCAGGAGGCAAGAGGCTCCTTGTGAACCACCAGTAACTGGAGACTAAGCATCACTGGTAGGTAAGGCAGTGGTGACCTTCCGAGAACCTGGCTTTAATTAAGGCTGTCTTTTGAGACTTACAAAATAAAATCAACACATAAAGAACAGAGAAAGGATCTGTAAAGTCATCTGAAAGGGATGGACTGGCTGGCTCCCTGGTTTTTAAGACTTGATCATGATCTGACTGAACAGGGAGTTACCAGAGCAGACTTTCACACTGTTCATCTAAGCCCAGCCTTGAGCTAACCACCCATACTGAATTTTGTCACCCTGAAAAATTAACTTCAACTTCCAGCTTTATTACTTTTAAAGGGAGGAGCAATAGGTAACAAACACCTTCAACCACAGCAATGACACTCTGACCCAATCACAGAATCTTGCTATTTTATGATAAAATGTCTCCACTAAAATATCCTGTTTCACTGCCAGGTGCCGTGGCTCACGCCTGTAATCCCAGCACTTTGGGAGGCCAAGGCGGGCAGATCACCTGAGGATGGAAGTTCGAGACTAGCCTGACGAATATGGTAAAATCCCGTCTCTACTAAAAATACAAAAATTAGCCGGGCTGTGGACAGAGGGAGACCCTGTCTCAAAAAAAAAAAAAAAAAAAAAAAAAATCTTGTTTCACCACAGGACAGATTGTCTGAATTATCAGGATCAGTATCTCAGCAACCTAGGCATGATTATGTATTCATCGTTAAGCTGTAGTTCAGGTGCCACCGTAATTTATACATATGTTGGTGTGTACATATGTGTGTGTGTGTGCATGTTTGTTTTCCTCACTAAACTGCAATCCTCTGGTGGCATGGATGGTGACATATTTCTCTCCATGCTTCTGGAGCTGAAGGAAGGGAAATGTGTCAAGTATATTCCCAGAGTGGAAATGGATACATCAAGCTACTGCTGTCTGCCAGCACTGGCCGTTTACTCTCACTGATCTTCCTGCAAGCTCCTGTGTGCATTGCCTATAGGGAAGGAATGAACGGACAGCAACCATGAAGAGCCGGTCCATATGACTTACAGTTCTCTAAAGTAATAAAGTGGGTTCCGGTTTCCACATCAGTCACTTCATGAGTTTGGTTGGTGAGAGTCAAATCCCTGGGAACCAAGTACCTCTATGAAGAGTGGTCTTAGAAGTCAAAATGGACATAAGCTGCTCTTCAAACTACATAGCACAGAATATAAATGAGATGAGGCTGGGCGCTGTGGCTCACGCCTGTAATCCCAGCACTTTGGGAAGCTGAGGCGGGTGGATCACCTGAGGTCAGGAGTTCGAGACCAGCCTGACCAACATGGTGAAACTCCATCTCTACTAAAAATACAAAATTAGCCAGGTGTGGTGGCGCATGCCTGTAATCTCAGCTACTCAGGAGACTGAGGCAGGAGAATCGCTTGAACCCAGGAGGTGGAGGTTACAGTGAGCCGAGATCACACCATTGCACTCCAGCCTGGGTGACAAGAGTGAAACTCCATCTTAAAAAAAAAAAAAAAAAAGTCAATGAGATGAGACATATGTGAAACTGTTGATCCTATTATTGACAATAATGACTGGATAGATTATTATGACATAAATTGAGGATGGTAAATACCTCATTCTTAGGTACTGACCTGCAAATCCCCGGCTCCTCCCTTGAGGGGGAAGTGGCATGGAGCCCATAGCTCGGGAATAAAGTGAAACAGGGTAGAGAGAGGGCACCATAGGAGGCACAAAAGTAGGTGACGGAAGTAGAGCAGAAGGCGGTGGATGATTCATGTTGATTCCTTCAAGGATGCTCTGTCTCATCTTTTCCACTTTGGTTGCCAGGTCAGCCTTCAAATGAGGAAGAGTAATAATAGCAGCTGCCATTTTTCGAACTTGTCCCATGTTTTAGGCCCAGCATGGGGCACTCTAGGTACAGTCTCACAATTCTATTCCCATTAAGTGAACTGAGGCCTGTCGTTAAAGGGCTCAAAGCTACACACTCAGGAAGCCTGTCTGGCACCAAAGCCCTGACTCTTTACATGACATCATACTACCATATGAGTTCTGACTCAGGGCTTGTGATGTACATTGACTAGGTCAAGGAAGAAAAATTTAACAATAAGAATTACTGATGGTCTATTACATGGCTGGCATTGGGCTGGGTCACTTTCTAAGGGAGATGTAACAGAATTAGATAAAAGAGAAAATAAAAATCTGACAAATAAAAAGCCTTTTAACCTTCTCCCCCATATCCAAGATTGGAGATCCTGATACCTCTAGCCCAGGGGTCTGCAAACTTCTTCTGAAAAGGGTTAGATAGTAAATATTTTAGGCTTTGTAGGCTATATTGTCTCTGTCACAATTATTCCACTCGGCTACTATAACATGAAAGCAGTCACAGGCCAGGCGTGGTGGCTCACGCCTGTAGTCCCAGCAATTTGGGAGGCCATGGCAGGTGGATCACCTGAGGTCAGGAGTTTGAGACCAGCCTGACCAATGTGATGAAACCCCGTCTTCACTAAAAATACAAAAAAAATTAGCCAAGCATGGTGGCGTGCACCTGTAGTCCCAGCTACCTGGGAGGGTGAGACAGGAGAATCACTTGAACCTGGGAAGCGGCGGTTGCAGTGAGCCAACATCGCACCACTGCACTCCAGCCTGGGCGACAAAGTGAGAATCTGTCTCAAAAAAAAAGAGAAAGAAGTCATAGATGGTATGTAGATGAATGAATGTGGCTGTGTTCCAATAACATTTTATTTACAAAAACAGAGGGTGGTCTGTATTACAAAAAACAGGTGGTTTGTAGCACTATGGACAGCGCAAAAAACTATGGATAGTGACAAAAAACAGGAGGTGTGCTGGGTAGTCTGCCAACCCCTGCTCTAGTCCCTCAGCTCTTTTCCCCACCAAAATGGATAAAGGAGTTAAGTAAGGTTTCCTTTCCCTTGCCTCCCCTCATCTTCCCAATGTTTCATTTAAAAAAATCCCTTTGGGAGGCTGGGGCAGGTGGATCACAAGGTCAAGAGATTGAGACCATCCTGGCCAACATGGTGAAATCCCATTTCTACTAAAAATACAAAAATTAGCTGGGCCTGGTGGTGCATGCCTGTAGTCCCAACTACTTGGGAGGCTGAGGCAGGAGAATCGCGTGAACCTGGGAGGCGGAAGTTGCAGTGAGCCGAGATCACGCCACTGCACTCCAGCCTGGTGACAGAGCGAGACTCCGTCTCAAAAAAAAAAAAAAAAAAAATCCTCTGCTTCTACTCTATCATCAACTTTACTATCCTCTTCTGTTTCCAAACACAGCTCCTTTACAAAAAAAAAAAATTGCTTGCAAAAGAGACAGTCAGTTTTTGTAAATAAATCCTGAGTTGGAGGGAAGGTATATAGTATATCTGAATATTCCATGGATAAGAAATACTCAGAGTAAGAAAAAGGATATGAAAACTTCAAGCTTATTAAAAAAAACTTTCCAACGTAAAATTTTACAACATGTACATATCAGACTTTGGGTCTTTGGGACCACTGTTGACTTAAGTCAGGTTAAAGTGAGACATAGTCTCCTGCTTCCGCCCCATCCCTCTCCAATATGTCTGCTCCTTTCCCCTCCCTGCCCGTTCACTCCCACAGGAGATCAGAGCTAGTCCTTAGCAGCCTGACATGCTGGTACCTGGCCATCACAGAGCTCAACCAGAGATACTCGCTCTCGGCCTGCTTTAATTAGCTTGCTCTGGAACAGCTTGCCATCAAAGTAAATCCATGGACAGCAATGCTCCCAAGGGACTGGCTGGCCACAGGCATCATTAGCAAACAGAGCTGTGTCGACTCCACTCATGAAGAGGGCAGCAAGCTGGATCCCTCGGGCATCCAGTTTCTCAATCTGAAACCACCACAGATGAAATATTACTATTAAGAAACTACTATTCTTGGTAACATTTACTCTTATTCCTGTCATGCTGATTCTTCCAGTTAAATTTGAACATGCTGTCATTCAATGTAGACATCTCAGTGCATAAGCAGCTTCTATCCATGTCTTTCCCCTAAGATGATTTGAAAGGTACTCATTACAACATTAAAGACACCAACCTGAGACATTTTTATTTTCACCTGTCAAATTAGAAAAAAATTTACAAAGTAAAGGCTGAAAGAACACTCAATACTGCTGCTGCTGATGCAGTGAAATAAATGGGCAATCATATAAAGCTGGTAAAAAATGTATATTACATGACCAGGTGCAGTGGCTCACGCCTGTAATCCCAGCACTTCGGGAGGCCGAGGCAGGCGGATCACCTGAGGTCAGGAGTTCGAGACCAGCCTGGCCAACATGGTGAAACCCCGTCTCTACTAAAAATACAAAAATTAGCCAGGCGTGGTGGTGGGAGGTGAGAGCATCACTTGAACCTGGGAGGTGAAGGTTGCAGTGAGCTGAGATTGTGCCACTGCACTCCAGCCTGGGCAACAGAGCAAGACTCCATCCCCCCAAAAAAAAGGAAAAAAAAAAAAGAAATGTATATTACAATTAAGCAATATGTATGAAGAACCCTGAAAATGTTCACATTTGTTGAGTTAGAAATTAAACTTGCAGATACCAACATCATGTTTCTTGTACAGCCTGAAAAACTGTGAACCAAAGAAAATTCTTTTCTTGACCGGGTGTAGTGGCTCATTCCTGTAATCCCAGTATTTTGGGAGGCTGAGGTGGGTAGATTGCTTGAGGCCAGGAGTTTGAGACCAGCCTGGCCAACATGGCAAAACCCTGTCTCTACTAAAATAAGTTAGCTGGTCATGGTGGCATTTGCCTGTAATCCCAGCTACTCAAGAGGCTGAGGCAGGAGAATCGCTTGAACCCAGGAGATGGAGGTTGCAGTGAGCTGAGATTATGCCACTGCACTCCAGCCTGAGTGACAGAGTGAGACTCTGTCTCAAAAAAAACCTCTTTACCGATTACCCCGCTTCAGGTATTCCTTTATAGCAACTCTAAATGGAGTAAGACAACACATAACAGAGTAAAACTGAAAACAACCTAAGTCACCAATATTATAACAATTAAATGATACATCCATATGATAAAATATTTATTAAAATTTTTAAGACACAGAAAATATGTGCTATGTGAAATGGAAAAAAGCCACAATATATAATTACATAAATACTACCTCAACTACGTAAAAAATGTATGACAGAAGACTGGAAAAAAACCTGAAAATTCCCACAGTGGTTATCTCAAGCCACTGCATTAGAAGACAGCTTTAACAGGAAAGTGTTTGCAGGTCCCCTCCTAGGTGTGGTTTAGCACGAGCAGTTATTCTAGGACAAGCAATACTACATTTACTGCAAAAAGCAAGCATTCACTGGTTGTCTTGAGTCTGTCTCATCTTTCCTTAGTTGACCTCACTTAAGATTTTGCAAGTCTTATTGAACTTTACCTTCTAGTTTACCTTGGGTGCTCAAAGGAACAAGGTTACTAAAGTCAAGGGAGGGATTAATGCATTAATGGCTACATTTATTGAGTACTGTGTATATAGAATATGTGAGACACTGGCCGGGCGTGGTGGCTCACGCCTGTAATCCCAGCACTTTGGGAGGCCAAGGTGGGTGGATCACCTGAGGTCAGGAATTCGAGACCAGTCCGACCAACAGAGAAACCCTGTCTCTACTAAAAATACAAAATTAACCAGGCGTGGTGGCGCATGCCTGTAATCCCAGCTACTTGGGAGGCTGAGACAGGAGAACCGCTTGAACCTGGGAGGTGGAGGTTGTGGTGAGCCAAGATTTGCGCCATTACACTCCAGCTTAGGCAACAAGAGGGAAATTCCATCTCAAAAAAAAAAAAAAAAAAAAGGACACTGTTCTAGGGGTTTTACATGGATTATTTTACATAGTATCCTCACAAACTGACATAGTTGGATATGTGACCCCTCCAAATTGCATGTTAAAATGTGATCCCCAATGTTGTAGATGGAACCTAGTGGGAGGTGTCTGGGTCATGGGGGCAGATCCCTCATGAATGCTTGTTGCCCTCCCTGTGGTAATGAGCGAGTTTTCACTCTATTAGTTCATGCAAGAACTGATTGTTAGAAAGAGCCCAGCACCTTGCCCTTCATTTTTTTTTTTTTTTTTGAGACAGAGTTTTGCTCTTGTTGCCCAGGCTGGAGTGCAGTGGCATAATCTCGGCTCACTGCAATCTCCGCCTCCCGGGTTCGAACGATTCTACTGCCTCAGCCTCCCGAGTAGCTGGGATTACAGGTGCCCTGCCATCACACCCGGCTAATTTTTGTATGTTTAGTAGAGACAGGGTTTCACCATGTTGGCCAGGGTGGTCTCGAACTCCTGACCTCATGATCTGCCCATCTCAGCCTCCCAAAGTGCTGGGATTACAGCACGGCTGCCCTTCTCTTACGTGCCCTGTCTCACCATGTGACACGCTGGCTCCTCTTGTCTTATTCCCCTCACCTTCTATCATGAGTAGAAGCTTCCTGAGACCCTGACCAGAAGCTGAGTAGATGCTGGCACCATGTTTTATGTACAGTCTTCAGAACAATGGACTCAATAAACCTCTTTTCTTTATAAATTACCTAGTCTCAGGTATTCTTTTATAGCAACACAAAATGAAGTAATATACAATTGTACAAGTAAGGAAACTGAAGCTAGAGAGGTTAAGTAACCTGCCCAAGGTCTATTTTCTGGGTTTATTTTCTTCCTTATGCTTTCCTATACTTCTACTTAATACTCAGTACCTATCACTAAAAGGAGATGTGTCTGAGTAAATAGACACAAGCAGGGGACACCAGGATATGTCCCTTATAGTGTATCTTGTAAGAGTCAGAACCCTTGCCATGGTCTATGGGCCAAGATTTATTTTCCTTGCATAATATCCATCTTTTCTGTCCATTCTCATTTATCAGTATGAGAGTAGTGTAGCAGGCACATCTTGGCTTTATTCATAGACATAAATATTTGGCTAAAGTAAATCAAACAGTTACCTGCAGTTAAATCAAACAGTTACTATTTTCCTCAGCTTCAGGCAAAAAAAAAAAAAAAAGACCTCAAGTAGTGCTATAAGCTCATAAAAGAAAACTTAAATGAGGGTACATGAAATCACCTTGAGTTCTTGGAGTCGATCTGGTTCATAAAGCTGGGTAGACACTGCCTGTGCAAGGAAGGTGTCTAGCTCATGGCGATGCAGGATTCGGCCACCAGGCCACTGAACCATGTACCTAGAAAATAAAAGCACTGCTATTAGGCCACAAAAGCTCACTTATTCATGTCACAAAAACTTATGAAGTTAAGAACCTATCATGAGCCAGTACTTGGCTAGATTTTGGCAATACTAACTGAATGAAGGAAAAAGAATCTCTGCTTTCGTTACTTCCAGTCTGGGTGGTAGAGGAAACAGTCATGTACATCGATAATGACAGGACAGTGTGTTAAGTACCAAGATGGAAGAATGCACAGAGTACTTGCTATGAGAGCATAGAAGAGGGCCATGACTGTAAAGGTGAGAGATGGCATCCTGAGAAAAGTCAGCAAGCGTTCAGTTTCAAAGGGCCTGTAGAATTTACTGAGACAAAAGGTGGGGAAAGGATGTTCCAGGTTGAGTGAAGAGTATGATGTGTGAAGGCCTGAAGGTGTGGTTCAGCACAATGCACCAGCTTCCATATTGCTGAAGCTAAGCATGTTTGGAGTGACAGGAGGCAAGATTAGCAAGTAGGCCAGATTGGCGGCAGCCTGAGGAACACTGAGGGCTTCAGGTGGTGGAAGGTGCGGTCATGAACCATATCATGGTGCTCAAGACATGACCCAGGATAAGTGAAGTTCACATAAAAGCCCAGAATGTTTTAACGGAAAGAGCATGCATTTTGGAGAGAGAAGATCTGAATTTGAGTGTTGGTTCCTCCACCTACTAGTTGATAGCTATGGACAAATTATTTAACCTTTCTGAGCCTTGGGTTTCTTCATCTACCAAATGGGGATAATAAAATTTGCCCTGCTCTTTTTACAGGGTGGTTGTGAGGATTAAATAGAGTTGCTAAAGAAAAGAATGAAAAAAAAAAAAAGGTTGGGTGCGGTGGCTCATGCCTGTAATCATAGCACTTTGGGAGGCTGAGGCGGGCAGATCACTTGAGGCCAGGAGTTTGAGACCAGCCTTGCCAATGTGGTGAAACCCAGTCTCTACTAAAATTACAAAAATTAGCCGAGTGTGGTGGCGGGCGCCTGTAAACCCAGCTACTCAGGAGGCTGAGGTAGGACAATCCCTTCAACCTGGGAGGCGGGGGTTATAATGAGCCGAGATTATGCCATTGTACTCTAGCGTGGGAGACAGAATGTGGGGGGAGGGGGGAGAGAGGAGGAGGAGGAGGAGTAAACAATGACGATGAAGAAGATGACAACAAAGAAGAAATTGTGTGTGGGGGGGAAATAAAAAAGAAAGTAGACCAGAGAACAGAGACTCAAAAACAGGATTAAGGAATTTGGATCTTCATCCCGAAATTGTAGGAAGACACTGTAGGACTGTCAGAAGGACTGGTTTGATAATGACTGGCTCTGGTTATTAATATTGTTTCTTTTTTTGGATTTATAGTTCCTTGATTTACCTTTGCCCATTCTTTCATTTTTAACCTTTCCATCTTATTTCATTGGCAAAATGTAAAGCAAAAATAGAAGAAAATGAATGCAAATGCAATTACAGCGCGAAACTTTTATATACCACTATTAAGCTATAATATGTAAACCATACCTAAAATACATTTAAATTCGCAGAAGATTTGAATAGTACAATAAATAAGGTTTAAATACTTGACTGACTTAATACAAAAAAACACATTCTTTTTAAGTGCCCATATGAGTTCCCATGAGGTCTAGGATCTTGCCTGTTCGCCTTTGTTTGTGTTTATTATCCTTTATTTATTATGAACTATCTAGCCAAGTACAGGGCATAGAATAGGTATTAATAAATATTTACTGAAAGAGCGACTGATGCATTAATCAGGTCATGCCAAGCCAAAAACAAAACAAGACAAAACTCAACAAAAATCTTTCAAAGCAGAATTTTACCAGTCATATCCTGAACCACTGTGCAAGAAAAATTGACCTAAAGGAGCCAAGTGTGGGAGAACAGCGAACTCACAGAAAGACTAACACAATGCAAGGGGTGTGATTTTAGAAGTTGAACAGATTGTTCTGGGTGCTCTGAGTCAGTGACTAAATTTACCTCAGAGAATCTAGATAAGGCTCCACAGACGAGGGAACATTTAATTTCCTAGGGATTGGAGCTTTTTGTTTGGTTTGTAGTTTAATGTTAATTTGCAATTTTAAATGTCTCTCTAACCTTAATAGACTACATGCCAGAGTGGATGCTTAATAGATGTTTGCTGAACTAATAAGTCAATGTCAGGATATTTATAAGGAAATGCTAGCTCCATCTTTGGGCCCGCCCTACTATTCAACTACTCTTGAATGAATTATGAGACAGAATGTAGTGGTCTAATGAGTCACAGGAGTGAGAGGCTCAGAAATGGGGCAGCAGGAAATAATTATTAAATCAACCAATATTTACTGATGCTTCATCATGTGCGATTTTTGGAATTATATGATTCCACTGGGGATTTTCCCTGGAAAATAACAGCATTACTTATTCCCAAGGAATTTCCTCAATTTTAATGATGACAGCTTTATTATTGCTATTAGTGTTACATTACTACAAATATTACATACAAGCTTTAATATATGCAGCAAACTATAAGTTATACATAAGAATAACATTTACTAAATGCCTCTGATATTCTAGATACCTTGCTAAGAACTTTAGCTACAAAGTATGTCATGGCAAAGAATGCAAGCTTGGAGACTGACATCCTTGGTTCTAATCTAGGTTCCACTACTCCTTTTCTTTTTTCCTTTTTTTTTTTTTTTTGAGACAGAGTCTCGCTCTGTCGCCCAGGCTGGAGTGCAGTGGCAGGATCTCCGCTAACTGCAAGCTCCACCTCTTGGGTTCACGCCATTCTCCTGCCTCAGCCTCCCGAGTAGCTGGGACTACAGGTGCCTGCCACCATGCCCGGCTAATTTTTTGTATTTTTAGTAGAGACAGGGTTTCACTGTGTTAGCCAGGATGGTCTCGATCTCCTGACCTCGTGATCTGCCTGCCTCGGCCTCCCAAAGTGCTGGGATTACAGGCGTGAGCCACTGCACCTGGCCTCCGCTATTCCTTTTCTATGTGACTCTGGGCAACTAAATCCCCTGGACCTCTAGGGGAATTAGTTTGCTAATCTTTAGAATGAGGATGGCACCACCTACATCTCAAAAGGTTGTAATAAGTAAAGGAGAAAAAGTACATAAAAGCACTAAGACTAGCCTGGGCTAGTCTTTTTGTAGAGACCCCCATCTCTACAAAAGATTATTAAAAATTAGTCATGGCAGCCAGGCACAGTGGCTCACGCCTGTAATCCCAGAACTTTGGGAGGCCGAGGCGGGTGGATCACGACGTCAGCAGTTCAAGACCAGCCTGGCCAACATGGTGAAACCCCATCTCTACTAAAAATACAAAAATTAGCTGGGCATGGTGGTGCGTGCCTGTAATCCCAGCTACTGGGGAGGCTGAGGCAGGAGGGCAGGAAAATGGCTTGAACCTAGCAGGTGGAGATTGCAGTGAGCCGAGATCGTGCCACTGCACTCCAGCCTGGGTGACACAGCAAGACTACATCTCAAAAAAAAAAAAAAAAAAAAAAAAAAATTTAGTCATGGCTCATGCCTGTGGTCCCAGCTACTCAGAAGGTTGAGGTGGGAGAGAGAATTACTTGAGCCCAGGAGGTCAAGGCTGCAGTGAGCAGAGATTCCACCACTGCATTCCAGCCTGGGTGACAGAGCAAGAACTTGTCTCAAAAACAAAACAAAACAAAAAAAAACCCCAAAACCAAAACAGCACTCAGCATAGTGCCTGGCACAGCAGGTGCTCTTAGTTACCATTTGTAACTGAACGAATTATGGTATAATCCTTTCTTTACAATTTGGTAAAGTTCTTCTTTTATCATATATTACATTCTCATACATACAAAAATCTGTTCCTATCCTATTTATTCCATGTCTATTTCTCACGCCAGCATCATAGTGACTTAAATTTTAAATGTGCTTTAATACTCGGTAGCTCCCCTTTTACTCCACATCTTTTTTTTGGAGACAGGCTCAGGGCAGTGGTGTGATCACGGATCACTGCGGTATTGATCTCCCAGGCTCAGGTGATCCTCCCACCTCGGCCTCCTGAGCAGCTGGGACTACAGGCTCGTGCCACCACACCTGGATAATTTTTGTATTTTTTATTAGAGTTAGGGTTTCGTCATGTTGCTCAGGTTGCTTTTAAACTCCTCAGCTCAAGTGATCCGCCCGCCTCGGCCTCCCAAAGTGGTAGTATTACAGGCGTGAGCCACTGCTCCCAGCCCACATCTTTTTTTTGTTTGTTTTTTGAGACAGAGTTTCACTCTTGTCGCCTAGGCTGGAGTGCAATGGCACGATCTCGGCTCACTGCAACCTCTGCCTCCCGAGTTCAAGCAATTCTCCTGCCTCAGCCTCCCAAGTAGCTGGGATTACAGGCATGCGTCACCATGCCTGGCTTATTTTGTATTTTTAGAAGAGATGGGGTTTCACCATGTTGGTCAGGCTGGTCTTGAAATCCTGACTTCAGGCGATCTGCCTGCCTCGGCCTCCCAAAGTGCTGGGATTACAGGTGTGAGCCACTGTGCCAGGCCACATCTTTTAATTTTAAATAACATTTACAATTTTATTCTATATACTAAAGTATATTACAAAAGCTTAAGTTCATTCTCGTTCAGAAAATGTAAAAAAGCATAAAGAAAATAAAAAATATGGTGTGAGTTGGCTAAAAGTAATAAATAAAAAAATATTAATAAGAAAAATAAGGCCAGGTGTGGTAGCTCATGCCTGTAATCCCAGCACTTTAGGAGGCCGAGGCAGGTGGATCACTTGAGGTCAGGAGTTTGAGGCCAGTGTGACCAACATGGTGAAACCCCTTCTCTACTAAAAATACAAAAATTAGCCAGGTGTGGTGGCGTGCACCTGTAGTCCCAGCTAGTCGAGAGGCTGAGGTAGGAGAATTGCTTGAGCCCAGGAGGCAGAGGTTGCAGTAAGCTGAGATCATGCCACTGCACTCCAGCCTGGGCCACAGAGCGAGACTCTGTCCCTAAAAAATAAAAAAATGAAATAATTT